GTAGATCAGAAGGAGGATATGAAGTGAATGAGACATTATGGCGATGCAAGTAGTAGAGCGGTAGTGCTTGTGAGAACAGCCTCTTGGTTTATGCATAGACAACCTCACCCCCTAGCAGTTACTGCCCCCAGGAATGTTGGGATAGATCATTTTAATGGTTTCGGAGATGCATGTTGAATTAGTTAGCAGCAGGTGAATACGATGTTGGAGGATAGTGAGCGGAGGGTTTCGGGGAGGGAGGGCGCATAAACCCCGGACCTCGTTGATCGACATGGGCAGTGCATGCATGAGCTCGGGGGTAGGATATTTGGGTTTATGTTTGGGAGCAGTGGTTGAAAGGCGGGTTTGCCTGTTGTGGCATTTAGCTTCGAATTCTCCCTGGGTAATCGGGGGATTGGCTGTCGTAGTTTGAAGTCGGCTCGCTGTAAACTAGTGGTGGCTTGAGCTCAATAACCCCCGGATACCCCAGCCTTGCAATTAGGTGGCACTCTAAAGATTGCCGGATAGCTCAACGTCACTTTGTGAATTATTTATGATACCATAGCAACGTGGTGACTAAACATAACTTGAGGCTCAATCGGGTATTGGTATTTCATTAAATAATGGGGAGTGTAATGAATATTGATATAATATCATACTCGTAAATTAGGTTGTATTCGCATAGACACTGCAAGCCCTCAGGGAATATTGAGCCTCAATGTCATGCTGAGTGACACCGTTGCTATGGTAACCCACAAAGTCCGCTCTTTAAAGTGCTCCTAGTTGTGGTGCTTAAGCCATAACCTTGGCACGGGAATGATATCGTACTTGTACCACCAAGTTGGATCCTCCCACCTGCCACCTATCAACCAAATGTGCAACTTCTCACTCACCGACTTTTGAGGCTCAAATCCTGTACCACCCACCATCCCGCACCATGAAAGGAGAAAAATGGCCTCCCTGAGCACCGCTTCCCCCACCGAACCACCATCAACATACCCACAATTATCCTCCCCCCGCAACAACAATAGACAAGACAAATCCCACCCAGAAACTATCTCTTTGGAGCCCATCTCGCCTAGTCCTTGTGGAGCCCGCGCCTTCCGAAAAAAACAATTAACCGAGCACTCGGTTGGAGGATCGTTATCGAAGCAAGGTTCCCCCAAAAATTTGGGTTTGGCGACCGGAAGGGTGCGAAGGGGGGTTGAATAAAGTTGATGGTGGATCTTCTGACAGCAACGACGAAGGAGCAGGGCGCGCGCTTTGTCTGTGGCGGCGATGAGGATGCGGGTGCAGACTTGCAAGCGGTTCAGGGCGAATCATTGTTCTTTGTCGGTGAGGGCCCGTCCAGTGCCGCCACAGTTGCAGCATGACGGATATTCAAGGCGCCGGCCATGGCTCCTTAGAAGAGGGGAAAGGAGAATATGAACAAAGTCTTCCAGAATTTCAAGACTCCGGCGATGAAGTGCTCCCCATCTTATTCAGTAATCGGGGCATGCTGCATAAGCCTTGTGAAACTTAGACCGAAAACCCACCAGCGAGAACGAGTATTCTGCGCAGCTACACAAGAATTTTGAAGGTGACCTAGATAGGAAGGGGGTGGGGTTGGATGGTGCAGGTGCAGGGGGTGTTGATAGAGGCACTGGCTGGGTGGGGGCGGAGGAAGAATGTGGGGGATCAGGACGCAGCGGGGTCTGCCTTTGGTCTCGAGAGGATTCCCAAGAGTACAACAAACTCGCCACATAACGTTCTAGGGAGGTTGCGGCCGGAGGAGTTGGCCGTAGTGAGGTTTACGAATCGGAAGTGGGATTGCTGGCAACTTTGTATACCTCCCACTCCGCTTCTGTTAAGTATCAAGCAATTAACAGGTCATCAGTCAATGATACCAGCCCTCCACTCTCTCTCCCGCCACTCCCTTCTCCTATTCACAGGCCCCAAATAAGCCCTCCGCCTGCACTACACAAACAGCAGTACGGACCCCCCCCCCGCGCCAGATCCCGACACCTGCACAACCCCCTTATATCAATGGCACACATTTACCTATCCAGCACAAGCACAATCACCGTCAGCGACCGGAAGTTTCTCTGCATCCTATCGACAGGTACGATCCAAAAAGTAACTCGGGTATACGCTTACACGGCGCTACACAGGTTAAGAGAGACCTTCCACATCTCCCGGGGCGGAAAGCTCACGGCTCTCGCCGCTAGCTATAAACTCGCCGATGTCCTGAGTGCAGCATACTAGTGAAGCTCCGGGGCAAGGATCGAAGGCTGGGGCGCAGAAGGGCTCCGGTGGGGCAGTAGTGGTGGCCTGGCGACAGAGGATAAGGCAGGCAGGGTATGGGAAATCGACGCAGCTTTGAAAAGGTGGTCGCACGCTGGAAAGACCAGGGCTGACACACAGTCACGGTTCTCAACAACAGCGGGGCCGGGTGGATCGCCACCGGTGGTCGGAACAGGATCGTAATATCAGATCGCACAGGAGCTTCGGTGACGGGCGGAATTCCCTCATCGGCGGAACAAAGGAAAATCCACAGCCAGTTAGGGTACTTGGGCAATTGGTCGCGGCCACCGGTGTTATCGGGTCCCTGCCTGACCCCCGGGTCCCCGCTACGGGGAGTAAATGGAAGAAGGGCGCTTAGAGGATGGGTATGTTTACGCCCCCCCCCCCTTTATATGGCTGGCTATTTGGTGAATGGCGCTAACTTGTTTGTAGTGCATTCTCCCACTTGTGCAGTCCACCAGGATTTGCCCACGTCCTGTGTTCCTCTGGATAGAGCCACGGCGGCAGGTTGGGCAAGAAAGGATGGGGTAATCGTAGTTATCAGGAATGAATCTGGGAGGGTCAAGCTATTGGAGATATAGTCTTAACTTGACTGAAGAAAATTTATGGTTGCAGATTATGCAGAAACAGAGTACCTGTGTTGTGACTGCCAACAACAATCCGTAGTAATTATGATCCTTTCATTCGCTCAGCTTTCCGACCTTAGCACCGGCGGGCATGGCCTTCGACTTCTGCTTTCCCGCGTGCTCCCTTACATCGCTGAATCAGAGACGATTGATCGGTGAGCATAGGAGGGGTGCGGGAAGGTTCTTGGACCGGACCGCCGATGCACCGTAATAAGTTTCGGCGACCTGGGTACTCTGATGCCAGGAAAAATGCAACCGACCAGAGGCAATGAATCGGCACGCACTAGGGGGACACTAGAGGATTCCCGGACCCGAGCAGCCAAGAACCCAATTAATTGCCAACAGCCTGGCTGCAGTACTGCAGCTCCAGTGGGAGTGGGGGGATTCGGAGACAATGGGGCAGCACAGCAGACACTGTGAGGAAGCCTAGTTGATATGCGGCCGCGATTCTCTCGCCCTGCTGCCCGCTATTTGAGCAGCGCTTCATCCCTCCACACGAGAGAGAGGCGGACAAAACGGTCTGCGGATTGCCGGTAGTTTGTCAGGACTGGGGGCGACAGGAGTGGCTACTAGTTTCTACCGGCGTAGGAGACGATAAAAACTACGGGGGGAGGGTGGTTGTGGGGAGCGCCGGACTAACAGGAATAGCGAACTAGAGTCCTCGAGTGGCAAGCCATTGAAGCGCAGCATGGAGAAAATGTGTGGAATGTTGGGCGTTTTCGCATCCCTTTCCCAGCGATATTGATTCATGTTTAATAGAAAACGACGTCGCATGCATTCTCACCCGGCAAGGTTCCTGCAGTCCTGCCTTCACCACCGAGGTTCATAGGATAGTGACGATTGGGTACCGGTTGTTGGCAATGCCAACAACGAGGAGGACTTTACCGGCAACAATGGTCCCATCTCCAAATTTCTCCTACAAGGGCATCTAGGTACTCTAATATTAGCGATCAGATCACTCCGGATTGCATCTAGTCAACCCTGCGAAAGGATGGATGTCGGAAAATCGGAGGAGAGTGGAGCACAAGCATTCATTTTGAAACGCTTGGGTGACTAGAACAATTCGAGAGATGAAGAGAAAGAGGGGATTAAAATGATCCTAAGCCCCATACATCACATCCCCCTGGCTATCGGAGGTGCGGCGTCCTTCATGACTGGGGCCCACACACCGCCGTCGCCTGCCGGACCATTTTCCGGGGAAGCGACCGGGGCGCGGGAGGGCTACTTGCGCAGCCGTTTTGTGGCCAACGGGAGACTGATATGACCGAAAGAATCCTAGCTACGTACTTTGTCACCTTTACCGGAATCACAGAGCAGATGTCCCAGCGGCGGATCTTCTGCCTCTAATTGTATTATTCGATCGTCAGAACATACCAGAAGCGCTAATTAGTTAAAGTAGCTTCGAAGGGATAGATGACTATATTCAATTTCGTTCTGCCGTTGGAAAACCATTAGGATTTTCGCAAGTTATAGTTGCTAAATTTGGGAAGACATTTTACGAGGTTCACGGATTGGTGCAGCTGTCTTCACCGGTGTATTTTACCGAAAATAATTAGTGCTCATGTGGTTCGGAATTCATGTTTTGATGGGTAGTACAGGAGTTTCACACTAGCAGATATCTCCCCCGCTAGGTTGTTCTAGTTTGTTGTATTGTAGGCTTCAGAGACGCAAAAGAAAGGAGGTTCAACAGGGAGAGACACTAATCGGTAGTGTTCGGAGGTCTTCTTCTGCCATGCTCGGTCATTCGGCCATATCTTGGACTGGCTTAACTGAAATAGCCATCAAGCTCGGAGGAAGATTGGACAACTCGGGAAAATCTTGTACTGTACAAGTTGATGGGAGACAGAGTGTTGGAAACTGGAGATTCGGGATGGTGTAGTACAAATGGACTTCATTAATAGGAAAGGAGATTTTATTATCGCACAGTTAATAAGGAGAGCAGGTCTTCCATAGAATATACTAAAACTATCATACAGACCTTAACCCAAAGCAGTTACCCATGGTGAATAATTTTCACCTCCACTCCACCTGGCCACTTACTCTGCATTTTCAGGAAGGCACTCAGTGCAACACAACAGCTCTTAGTATTGTGGCTGGAGTAGATGATAACAGCAGGACCACCAGTATCTGACAGGGCTGGAATATAAGATATGGTAGAGAGAGTGTGGACAGAATTCATAGCATCATGGAGAGCTACTTCATTTCCATGCACCTCATTATTCAGAACTTCCCTAAATTCGTCCCCCATTGCCAACTTGTCAAGTACAGCTTGCATTCTCCTACATTCCTTCGGTATCTTCCCTTGCTGTCTGGCACGGTGGACAAGATATTCTACCCTTGAACATTAGACATAAGAAATCAGTTATAGATGAAGATGACCTACCAAGGACACCACATGGCCAAAACCTTTTGCAAAACCGTATCCATTCCTTTGTTTCCTGTAGAGTAAGGTGCGGGATCAGTATTAGATATTAAATATGCCATGCATGAAGAGGAAGATAAAACATACAGGCTGGTAGTGATTTGTGGTAACTAAAGGATTAATTTCTTTATGAAAGTCCTTCGGGTTGTTGTCATACCAAAAGCGCCAGCTTGCATTAATCTTTTTCCACCGTGCATACTCTAAAGCATACTGTGATTGGTACCGAGAGCCTGCTGGAATGCATGGGGGGAAGTAAGAAGAGGGATGCTTGCAAGCAATCACTAAATGACGAGTGAGAGATTGGTTCAGCATAGGGGTGGGTGCTGGCCACCAGCGAGACATTATGAAGAAGTAGACTGCGGGGATGGTATAACATGTAAGGAGCTAGGAGAGATTATAGAACTCTAGTTATATAGAGCTTTACATAGCCCTGGATCCATATATGTTATAGGGCTGAGGATCTAGTGACAAGATAGAATATCACTAGCCCTAAGAGAGCTACAATATTTCAGAATATAAACTTTCCCCTAGTAACACAACTGCAAAAACCTTATGATAAGCAGCAGTAACAACTCCAATTGAGATTCATACATGAGACATAGCCGTGGAATGACTGATATGAGCAAGTATATGGAAAGGATACAATAGGAATACCTGCTAGTCCAGGTTTTTCACATCCGTTTTGTGATATCCAACGAGAGTCCGATATGACCGAAAGCATCCTAGCGACATACTTTGTCACCTTTACCCGGATCACACAGCAGATGTCCGCAGCGGCGGATCTTCTACGCCTAATTGCATGCTTCGATCGTCAGAACATACCCGAAGAGCTATTGAATCAAAATGGTTTGGAAGGGATGGATGATCCAGTCGAGTTTCGTCAGGCTATTGGAAAGCTATTGGGATTTTCGTTGGTTTCGACTGTTAAATGTGACGATAAGACATTTTACGAGCTTCACCGTTTGGTTGAACTGTCTTTACAAGTGTATTTACCAACCGGAGAGTTGAATCGATGGAGGTCCACTGCTCTGAAAGTGGTTTCAAGGCTGTTCCCTCACAATGACAGCGAATGGCGATGTGTTGGTTCGACATTTATTCCACATGCACTTGTGGTAGTCAAAGATTCAACGGGTCCCATGGCCGAAGAGCTTTGTTTTCGCCTGGGACAGTACTTTCTACATATGGGTTCCTACAATCACGCAGAAATTCAATTGCGTCGATGTATCGCACTTCGGGAAGAGAGCAGAGAGTATGACTGGGATGGTGAAGGCCAGAATAGGATTATGCTCCTGGGGGCGGTAAGCGCTTATCAAGGAAGGGCAGAAGTGGGCGAGAAGATGTTGAGAGATTTATTAGCGGATATAGTGGGATCTTTAGACCGAAATAGTCCTAACGTCTTGCAGACCATCCACTATCTAGCTATGGCACTACGATGCCGAGGAAAGTACAACGAATCGGAGACGATGAACCGGCGTGCTCTGGAGGGGTATGAGATGACTCTTGGGCCAGACCACCCATACTCCCTGTCAAGTGTCACCAACCTGGCTTTTGTGCTGCAATACCAAGGAAGGTACAACGAATCAGAAATGATGAATCGGCGCGCACTGGAGGGGTATCAGAAGGTTCTTGGGCCAGCCCACCCAAACACCTTGTCAAGCTTCAACAACCTAGCTCTTATACTGCAATACCAAGGAAAGTATAATGATTCGGAGACCATGAATCGACGTGCACTAGAGGGATACGAGAATATTTTTGGGCCAGACCACCCAGACACCATTACAAGTTTCAATAACCTAGCTACTGTGTTGAAAGATCAAGGAAAGTTCAGAGAATCAGAGACAATGAATCGGCGTGTACTAGAGGGATACGAGAAGATTCTTGGGCCAGACCACCCCAACACCCTAACGAGTGTCAACAACCTGGCTATGGTGCTGCTATGCCAAGGAAATTACGATGAATCGGAGACGATGCACCGCCGTGAGCTGGAGGGGTGCGAGAGGATTCTTGGACCAGACCACCCGGACACCCTAACGAGTGTCAACAACCTGGCTATGGTGGTGCGATGCCGGGGAAAGTACGATGAATCGGAGAAGATGAATCGGCGTGCGTTAGAGGGTCGTGAGAAGATTCTTGGACCAGATCACCCATACACTCTGTCAAGTGCCAACAACCTGGCTACGGTGCTCCGGTTACAGGGGGAGTGCGACGGCTCAAAGATGACGAAGCCGCGTCCACGCCTGGCACTGCCGGAAAATCAGGAAAATGTGCGCCCCCAATGCTCTGGCCGTGCCCCCCGTCGTTCACGGCGAGTCGCAGTCCTCCGCCGTTCACAAAGGATCGCAGTCCTCCGCCACGTCGACAGGCCGGCAAAGTGATTCACCATACCGTAGGCACTCTGGTTGGACTAGAGGTGAGAGAAGTGGACTATTAGCTTCGACCGGCGGGGGAGATAGTAGGAACTTACAGGGAAATAGTGGGGGTCGTGTGGGAATATCAAGAATGACAAACAAGACGCCATGAGCAGCGAGCTGTTGAAGTACAGTACGAAGGAAGTGTTGGGAATATTTTACCTCCTTCTCTATTTATTTTCCCTTGTTCTTTTTTTACTTTCGCGATATATTAGTTCGTACGACCTCTTACACAATAAGTAGCTTGCAACCAATCACCCCCTTACTACACGGAATCACAAGAGCTCACTCGTCTGTCATAATCGATAATGGTTGTTTAGTAACCATACAAAGGCCAAAACACGAAAATTGCGGGTTTACAATTACCCCCCTGGTATCTCGAAATTCAGTTTTGGAATAGGCTAGAGATATTTGACGTCTCTGGAGTATGACGCATTTTTAGCTTTGTACCGACACGGTGATCAGCGATAGCTAGGGCCAGAATAAGGACAGCGGGATCTGTATCCCCTAAAGCCGGGGAAAAATTCAGCCCTGTTTAAAACATCGGGCACTAGCCTATCCAAGTAATCGTGACAGCAAAAACCTTGTTGCATGTAAATGTTGTAGTGCTCAGAATATCGCAAAAGTTCGTAAACCATGACAGAAATAAAAGGTCCGCGTAAACTTAATCTCGATGGATTAAACAGGTTAGTGTTTGCCACTTTGCACTAGGCTAAATGTCGAAGTTGTCTCGAGGGATACTCTTTCCAGCTGCTTCCTCGCTTGTCACTTCTGCTACGGCTGGTGCAGCCTTGGCACCAATGTTTGAACACAGGCAAAGGTAGGGGGTGAACACTCCACACGTCACAACCCTAAGAGGATAGAACAAAAAACCCACACTTTTTCATATGCGTGCTATTGTATCAGATGACTTTTTGATTTTTTCTCCTATGCTTTTTTCGCCGATGGTCGCCGCATACTGGTATCATAGCTTTAAAACCGTCATTTAATGTGTTCCTGCCCCTGTCTGGTTACTAAATGACCTATTGTCATTCAACCTGGTATCCTAAATACCATCACACGGTCACCCGGTTACACAATGCCCTCCCATCCCCCCCCCCCCCCGCCAGGCAGCTTCCCTACCCGCTTTGGTCTTTCGCCTTGCGCGGCCCTAGATCCGGAGACATCAAAGGAACCTGCAGTACACCTCTCATCACCACCCGCCCGGACAGGCTGTTAATTACAGCCTGCTCCATTACAGACATTGCGGGCCACCCCAAAACCCCAACCAGTGTTAACAACCTGGCTAGGTGATGCTGGTATGCGAGCAACAGTAGGTCGGATGAGGGACAGCGAGTTTTTGCTCGGTGTATTGCGAAACACCAGCTCCCGCTTGCCCCTCCATAATCGCATAGATATGCTCTCACTTCTAGAATTTAGCGGTTATTCTTTTTTTATTCTGTTGTTTCCTGAATGGAAATATTCAGGATCTATATACCGGGTAATATGCAGCAGGTCATCGGGAAATGGGCAAGGATAGAGATTAGAAGTCCAGAAGCGAGAGGCAGTGGGGAGAAGAAAGGTGGTATTGGAAAGACTTGAGAAGTAGTGAGGATAATAGGAGTGAGAGACAGGCAAGAGGATATAACAGAACTAAAGCGCAGAGAAGACAACTAAGGAAGGGGGAGTGAAGAGAAGAGAATGGGAAAAGTAGAATCTGGGAGCATTGTTCCTAAGTAGCTAGGTCACCCTGCAGATAGCCTATAGATACCGAGCGCGGGTATGCCATGTCAAAGTATGTCCGACGTATTTTTGTAGGCAGCTGGCAGGGCTAGCAGTATGTGCCGCACAGTTACTAAATATTTTGCCTATGTGGGCAGAGATCTTGAGAGACTTGGAAATATCCTCAAGCACCTACAGATATACGCAGATACCCGCGGATGTAATATCTTCTGATACTTGCAAATATCAGTTTTGGCCATATGATCCCCGAAGTTACCCTCCCCCCGCAGGTCCCAAATCTAGAGGAGAGAAATATAAACAATACTACGCCAAGTCCAAAGAACCGAGAGCAATGCCGGTGAAGGGGAAATTCTTCATCACTCAAGAGTGGACAAATTACCCGCATGTCGACACGCGCCTGTTCAATCGCCAAGATGCCCTCTGGTACTATGTCCGCACCACCACAAGCTTCGAATTCCCCGTATCTTTACACTTCGCGCCATCCTGACCGGATGGTTTCTGTTCAAAAACCGTTTCTTTCCTTTTTCTCCCTCCTGATGATCCCGTTGGGCAGGCTATTTTCGCGAGAATATAAACTTACACTCCAGAGCCAGACAAAAATCCGCAACCGAGGCTCCTTACTCGCCTACTCGTCAAAAGGATGGCCCAGAGGGGGACTCGGCCAGATCATGGGATGTTATAGTCCCGCTTCTCAAACCGTTTCCAAGAGTGAAATTAGGCTGGGTCCCAGGACATATGGATATCCACAGCAATGAGATGGCCAGCACTGGGGTGGAGTCCAACGCAGCTTTCCCGCAACCCTGGGGATGGGGGAGGATTTGCTTTGGGATCGGACACGCCATGTTGGCCCGAGGGTGGAGAAAGAAAGAAAAAGACTGGGATTGGAGAACTGGAACAGAAAACAGGGGCAGCTGCTTGCGCATTCCAGAAGTATCCCGATATCTTGGCGCAGTTTAGGTTGTTGTGAGAAACTTTAAAGCCGAGCCTTAATCTGGTGGTGGAAGGCACTTGAATCCCCTATAGCTCACCCAGAGATTAATACTTTTGAAGTATCTTTTAATTCCTGAACCTCCAGCTTATCC